ATGAGTGTTCGAAGGCTCCTCGGCACTGACAAGGAAAGATCCCCAGATGTAACGTTGACTTTTCAATGAGGTTCAAAACAGTGATAGAGTTCTGTAAGCCAATTTTTGTTTCTGTCAAATTAATATTAAGTGAAACCCTTGGGCACTCATCGATGCTTTACTGTATTCCATGACCAATTGATCCGAGGAAGTTACTTGGACGTTTTGAAATAGCCAACGGAAACAACGAAATGAAAAAGAGACGAGGATGAATGCAGGTCAACTACACAAGAGTGGACGCGCACCATTGTCAATTTCGTAACGCTGTTACATTGTGATCCTCGTGACCGTGTAAACTTCTATAGTACCGTACGGTTTCCACGATTATTATTACAAAACACACTCGTGAAAATCCTGATTTTTATCTGAGTCCCACGAACCAATTAAAAGCGCATTAAATGTTTTTAATCGTCGCGGACTCGACCAAACGGGGGTGTGGCGTTAATTGTCTGTTGAGGATACAGTGAATATTTACTAAGCTCCGCGTAAATAACGCTTTTAACAACGCCGACCCAATTATGCAAATTGGCAGAGCTCACGATCCGTTCTCAGAGCGCAGTTAATTACGCCGGGAAGGGGATCGATGGCAATCTGTCAAGTCCCCGCGCGCGAACTCGAAACGGCGCAGCGATCTTCCGTTTCGGCTGGCGAAGGAGAAACGAATAAAGAATGCAACACTCTCGAAAATTGTGGTCCTTGCATACACTTGGATCGCAACTTCGGACGATGGTATACTCCCACTCCCCGCCCAACCGAAAATTCCAATCCACCCAACGGTGGTAATTGGAGCGCGGCGGAATCGCTGAAAATTATTTTAGGTCACCGTTCGTTCGTATTTAAGTATCGATTTCCAAAAAAAAAAAAAGAAACAAAAGGGGAAAGGAAATCTCGACGTTATCCCAGTGTGGCCTTAACGTCGCTCCAAAACAATGCATTAAAATATTCCAAACTTCTTGACCGAATTCGGTCCTGAGTCATCGACGATTCTCTTTTCGGTTATTAGGAACCGACATTTGCAATATGGCGATTATTCAAGAGTCTTCAGAGAGAGGCGAGAGAAACCTGTGGCACCATCAAGAAAATTCTTGCTTCGATTACTTTGTCGATACAGCTTTAGCATTCAATTTTTACAGAAGAGAATTAAAGCGCGCACACAGGTTGACAGACTAATTCGCCGCGAATTGAAACCATGCTTTTTTGTTAACAAAGGACTGGAGAGAAAGGAACAAGCAATGCAGCGGGGACCTATTTTTTTCTGCTTTTATGCGCCACCGCTTTTGAACGATAATCTTTTTCCTGCTTCTCCCGTCCATTTGCAGTTGCATCAATGAAATTATCTCGAACAGGGTAGGGGGTTGAAAAGGGGCTCTGCTAACGGCTTGCAACGTATGGAAATCCGTGACTTTGTTACGGTGTTAATCCTCTCTTCAGCACTTTTATCCGATATTATGCAAATCCTTGTTCCGTCGTGTATTATTTATTCGCCGGCAAAATTGTACCCCGTGAGAGAAGATAGGAAAATATAGACACCCATAGAGATCTTTATTTGCATACGAAATCACTTGTGTAGACCCGCTACATTATAATCCTGCAATCTTTTGCTATTTTAATACTACACTTCCGTCGATCCGTCTGTTCATGGAGGTTTCCGTCAATTGGCTGACAAGCGGAATCGTCGCGACTGTCAAAACGAACAGATTACAATCGACGTGAATTCGATGGATTCCGTGCGGACAGTAATTCGATCGATGGTTAATCTACCGAGAGCGACAGGCGTGTTTCGATCGTCTTCGACGCAAAGGGAACCGACGACAGGGCTGTCTGTGACAGCTGGAAGAATTCCGAAAGTCGCGCGATGGATCGATCAGTTATGTGGATCTGGAAACCGTACCTGCACACTCGAAACGAAACTACGCTCGGATACGAAATATTTACTTAGGTTCTAGTACAGTTAGACCGCATTGACATCCTTTAGTCAACCTTATTTTGTAATCGTCCTCGTCGGAATCGCGATTAGAACCTCCCACTAATTTACCGAAAGAACGAAACCGACGATCGTAATTTGACACAGTGTATCGTCGTTCCCACGGATTGCAAGATTGTGAAAAAGAGGCGAGAGGAGTGAGAATAGTACCGTTTGCAATCTGCCCCTCCTCGATCCACTCGCGAGAAACGTAACTCGAAAATACGGGGATAGAGACGGTGTGTGTGTGTGTGTGTGTGTGTGTGTGTGTGTAACGTCAATGGATCCGCAGGTATAGCATATAAAAACGATGCAGGCCAAAAAATAAAGATTTTATTCATCCACGTACATCACGTACAGAATAAGGTTGATTAAATTCACTTTGACTATATATCTTTATATATAATATATATAGTATATATAATATGTATTCATTTTTCTTTGATGTTCTTTTTGATGCTGTTTATGCGTAATTTTCGAACTTTGATCGCTACATACCTAGAGTATCTACACGTCTGTTGCTTGTTCTCCATTTTCTTTTTTTTTTTGTTATTTTTCTTCATAGATTATTCTCCTCTCCACTTTTCTGTCTCTTTCACTCTCTCGCTCTCCTTCGCACGCACACACACTCTCTCTCTCTCTCTCTCTCTCTCTCTCTCTCCCTCTCTCTTATGTTCTTTCGACAGCCTGCGTTTCCGTTAAACGTTTATAATCCGAAAAAATCGAGTAAATCACCCAAGTCAAAAGGGTCATCGCCTGCAGTGTGGCGAGCACCGGCAAAGTACGTTTCGAATTTCGAAATAACAATCGCTGCGACACACATGCAGATTATTGTTCACGTTGAATATATACGCTCGTTCATACCGTTCCGTGATTTTAGTCCCAATTAGTCTCCTTCTACGCGTATGAGAATGTTTCCCCCTAGAAGGGGAATGGGGGTGGGGAAAGACAGTTATGTTCCCCTGTTTTTGGGTACGAGCATGCGCACACACACACACACACACACACACACACACACAGAAAGAGATCGCGTAAGTAATATATATGGAATTTCTCCAGGAAGGCTCTTACGGCGAAACTGGGAGCCCAACCTCGCCTGGGACGATCCCGGAACTATTCGAGAATATCGACCGCACACGCGATCCCAGTCGCGCAGTCGAGTCTTCCCGTGTTTAACTTTAATCATAGATCGTACGTGAATTTATCGAAGTAATCACGGTGTTACACCTCCTGGTCATAGACAACAAATACTTCTCGGAGCTTCCTTGATCGGGGCGATCGAAGGAAGGTTGCCAAATTCGGACCATTGTCTAGGTTAGACCATTACTCTAACTTGCCATGTGTAAGCAATTAATAATAGACAATATAAGTCTATAGCCCTATATCTAAATAAGTTAATTAATTCAATCAACCCCCATCATACACATATTCTCTATTAAATGGCACAAATTGCTTATATGTGACAAGTTGTAGTAGTGGTCCAATCTAGGTGATAGTCGAAATTCAGCAACCTTCCTCTACGTCTAATACTGATGGACGCACGGAAACGATCCCTCCTCCGTCATTCACAGAATCGCGATGGATGAACAGGAGCCGAATGCCTCGGCGAAGAAACAAGTAAAATCGTCGGTTGTGTTCAGGCGAAAATATTGTTGCTCTGTTGGATATCGTCTTGGATCGTGCCCGGTCCACGCGTGCGTACACACACGCTTCTCTAGAGCCTACGACGCCTACCGTGCGTCACCTTCCGAGCCCGGGTTGCTACTGATATAATTTGCTCGCAGCCATCGAGAGACGTCGACGAAATTTGGTAAAAAATCGTTATTTATCAGAAATACAAATTTGTGCGTAACCGCGAAGAATTCGTGACGCGTGGATATGTAAGTGTAGGAAGTGTATACATATATATATATATACTACGCCTGATTCTGTTTATACACCTGACTGATTCGAGACGGAAATCATTCGAAGATTTCTAGCGGCTGCTGTTGAAAATTCTCCGACGAAATATTACGTGTTCCCGGGTGATCCTGTCCGTATAAACATCTGCAATGATATATCGAAAGGAATCGGAAAACTTGTGTACGAACATGTTTTTTCTTCTTTGCTCGCTTCTGGGTTCCACGTTCAAACCTGAGCAACACACTGAAAACTTTTGTTTATCTTATCTGTGTATATAATGTATACTCGAATACCTAAAAGTCTATAGTAGATATTATCCATCGAAAATGCGACTCTCCGAGACTTCCTACTCGAACGTGGACACGCGTGGACCGAGGACTCCTTTTTGAAATTTTGTTCGTTCATCGCCCAGCTCGGCGCGCGCCTACAACATCTCGACTACGGAATTCCCTTGGTTAATCGGTACGAGACGAACGGATTCGAGCTGCGAGGACATACGCAAGTGAGATTATTGTTCCCAGACAAGACTGTTCGACGTGTCGCGTTCTCTGATTCGGTGGATCTTGGTTTCAGCGATCTTGCCAATCTTCGATTTACCATCGATCAACGGATACTTTCTCTACCCCGTTCACGAGTCTACGGAACGACACGTCGCGACGAATCGAAGCGAGACCTGTAGTTCTCCTGGTCGATGAACTGTATTGTTCTCGTGACGATTGTTCGAAAATGAACGACAAACGTGACAAATGACGTCGGCTCGGCGGTAGACCATGGGAGAACCGAAGAAAAACATTATGTCGTTAGGTCGCCTGATGTCCTCGAAGAGGTACATCAAGAACAAAGTGTCGTCCGCCGAGTCGACGGCCATTAGCGATAAAATCTTTCTAGATCCTCCACGAACAAGAAACCAACAACGACAAGCTGAACGGCAAACCATATATCACAGGGATTTTTTTCATAGAGACGCGGTCGTCTGTATCGTGAACTTCGAACGTAAATTTGACAGAGGGCCGAACCGTCGAGAACACAAAGCTGCTGGATATATAAATAATCGGTAATGACAGCGCAGTCGCGTTCAAGTGTTAGCCGGCCATCGTTACATCGCGGTCGATCGTTCCTCGTGCGCTTTCTTCACTATCGCGAGCTTCGAGTGCGGATCGGCCGCTGGAAGTCCGGTGTACGGTGGCTCCCTGGTTCCGTGCAGCATCAGTGTCCATTCCCGGAACCAACCGTGTTGCGGGGTCTGACCGTTGAAGCTCACCTGAAAGACGAATCGTTGAATAAAATAATCGCTTCTGTCGGACAGGTAGTGAGAGCAGCGTCCGTGATGGCAGAAGTTCCGAGAAACTTAATAGCCTAGACAAAGTCTTGGATTTTTCAAATATCACAACTATAATTTTATACACTACTGGTAGGGAGACATAAATAAACTCCCAAGTACAATTTACCTCCACTGAAGATATGTATAAAAACAAACGAGAATCTGGATAGACTAGACGGAACGACCAAATAATGTCACCCAAGTAGATCCTTATTTTCCCCAGGATCCACTCGATCACAGGGCAAACCCCTACTTCCTAGTTCTACTATTTCCCCATTTACCTCCAACAGCCAGGTTCCCTGGGGATACTCGCTCCAAGTATGAGTGGTCATGAAGGGCCATTTCGTGAAGCCGTCCCTGTGATCGTCGTCGTTCACCCTCCGACTAAGGATCATGGACCTGAAATCAATCCTTCGTCACTACGCTACCCTCCGATCTACACCGACAACAGAGTAAAAACTTTCGCAGAATCACGTCTACGATAGTTCCGAGTCACGGAACGAACAGAGGTGATCGATCGACGCACCTGGTGCCCATCGGCGAAGTCAAGAACAGCTCGAGATCACCGCGCCGCGACGCGTTCACAGATATCACGTGGATCGATCGGTCGCTGGTCACCTCCCTGAAATCGCAATCGACGCGATGTTCGGACGTAAAAGGATCGAAACGCTAACGGGATGTATTATTGCGAGTAAAGGTTATCGGTGGGACGGTTGTTATCCCATCCAGGGATTCTAATGTCAGGTGAAGACAATAACGAAGTGATTTCTTCGAGTGGAACACAAGTCGAACCGAAGAAATGTCGTAGAACATTGTAACAGGAGAGAACCAAGGGGGTGGCCGAAATCGATACCGTAATGGAACCAGTTCCTGATCAGTTTATACATAGATACCATATAAAAAGTTCATTATAATAAATGCGTCTTCCAAAAAATCTACCAAATAATTATTAACTATTTTTAAATTTATACGTAAAGTTTGTCAGCTCAGAGTAAGATACAGCTATAATATATACGATTTAGGTGATCCGAAATTGCTCCATTTGAACTCCTTTCTGTAAAAGTTAAATTGATAATTTAGATATTACTATTTCTGCACTCTTCTTAATGCCAAACTAAAGATAAAAGATATATTTATTTCAGTAACAACAATTCATTTGAATTTGGTTAATTTTTCTACATATGTATACAGGGTGAGTCAGTAAGACAGAATTTGTATATGCTTCTTGACTTTCGAAACGAGGAAACGGAAAAGGTGAGGGTACGCTTCCAGGGTTCGTAGCTGGAATATACATATCTGGGAATGGATGGTTGGGATCGATAAAGGCCGCAAAAGAAAACTCACTCTGGTTCGAGCACGGAACCGGCCTCGCAGTGGTACCGTGGCGGCACGGTTTTCCATTTCTTCGACAGGGCAACCATCGCACCGGCGTCCAAGACACCGTATCCGAAAAGGTAGTTGAATTCCAGTCCAACCCCATTCATCGTCCAGTGGAATCGTCCTTTCGCGTCGAACAAGGAGTTCCTCTTCGATGTGAGCACTGTCAGATGCTGGATGTCTCGCCATGTCAGTTGCGAACTGTTAAGAAATTTAAACGTTTCTTTTGGAATTCACAATTCGGAATTCTTTATTTATTTATTTTACGGAATAATTCCTATTAGAATACAAGAGAAAAAAAATGTAAACGTATTTGTAGACACTTGGCAAGCAATTATTCGATCTCATTAACTGTTTCACACGTTGACTGCAACAGTGGAAATGGCCGTACGTAGTCAGACACGCCTTATTTCGTTTCATTCCATTCGTAAATCGTCGGAAATGTACCCGTTTAGTTGTAGTTCACATCGATGTCTCTTGATACCTGCTGCTGTTTTGCACTATTAAGAACAAAGGTAAATTGAAGTACTTGAGATGAGTTTGATCGTTCGATTAAACTACGTTAGATCGAAGTGAACTTGTTTCAGGTTCAATAATTGCAGTAAACGTGGGTAAATGAAAACAGAATTGTCGAAGTGTTTTCTCTCAGACGTTATACATAAAAATGTTCGTAATACTGATTGAAAGGGGAAAAAAAACTCACGAATCGATATTAACTTGAATCAGTCGTCGGATAGGACACACATCCGAGAAACGCATATATGTATAAAAGCGACCCGTGTCTAAAGCTCTCCCTTTTAATGGTACATTTCCATTTCTGGGTCACGTTTCAGCGACTGAGTTTCACGAGACTCCCGAGAGCCCCGAGGACGAGTCCCCATTAACGACCTTTCAGTCACAGCGCGCCTCTGTTCCGTTCCTTAATTTTCGCGATTTCAACCGTGGGACCGGGACGCTCAACCGTTCAATCGCGGAGCTACGAGCCTCGAATAAGTCCAGTTTATCGTCACCGAGTACGAACAACGAGGTACCATTCCTGCATACTTTGACACGAATCATTCCTGACAGGTCACACTCTTCAAAATTTCAGGGACTCAGTGGAAACGGGGCACATGGCACATCTACGTCGAAATAACACCGTTGTACCTGATAAAGTGCCTGAAAAAGAATTTCGCCCGAATAGCCGTACAACCTTGTACGTTGTTACAAAGTCTCTAAGGAGATAGAATGGCATGGACCTCTTTTCCACTAAGAATTTCTTTGCTTTCAATGTTAAGGAATTTTAATATGCTTCTGTTAGAGCTTGTTGATGGTGCAGAAAATTGAATATCGACGTAGATGTGGCATGTGCCCTTTTTCCACTGAGCCCCACATTTTGAAACGATTTTACAACGCGTTGTATGTGAAACAACAATTTTTCAGTAGTATAGGTCAACGATATATCGTCTACCGTCGGGAAATTTCAGTTACGCGATGAAAAATATGTATATAAAACAAACCCCCGTGTCAGCTTGCACATTTTCCATGGACACGTCGAATATAATGGTAAATGTACGCAAGCATAAAGACGGGAATATCAATTTTTTGCACGTCACTCCGTTGGAAATCCGGTAGGTAGTACATCCAATAGTCCATCTCATTGTCTGCCGAGATAAAATAACGAAACGCGAGAGCTGTTCACCGTCGAATTCGATTACTAGGAAAAATGCTACACGTTTCGCCCACGATCCCGCTCCGCCTCGTAAATTACAATATCACTCGACATTAAACGAACGTGGGGGAGGGGTAGAGGAAATACATGTATAAGCCCGCTCCGCGTTTCCGCGCAGCTGATGCCTCTCTCTGTCCCGTTTTCAACCGATGATCGAGCGGTCCATGTCGATACGGACAGGATTAAAGGGAAGCAGAGAGGATTATGCGTCGTTTACAAAACGAGTCACGCCAATATGAGCCCGTCCCTCGAAATATTGGAGCTTAATTTGACGTTATAATTCGCGCGTGGAATGCCTCCTCGCAAATTGTAGCATGCGCGAATCCGTTCTCGGTGGCCAGAAACGGATCGATTCGCGCCAGTTGTGTTTTCGAATCTTGTTATTCCCGCGATTTACACCGTACAGCACGGAAACAAGACCGCTTCAATCTGTTCCGAAACAGTAAAACAAGTGGAAACCGTCGCGTCGGGCGAAAAACAAGCTCATGAATAATTCCGGTGCAAAATTCGACGAGACCGCTTGAAACGCATTTATACGAATATTTAATGGAGAGGATTTTTCACGGTTCGACGAGTAAATATCTTCGTTACATTGAATCACGGATCGGTGAACCTCGAGTTCGTGACAGCGGAAGGAATACCCTTAGTATTTAATAATCCTTGCACCCATCGGTATCGCGAATAATTTCTACCGTTCGATATTTATGCACGATCCAGTCGTTTGTAATTTTACACAACAGTTTTATTTATCTTCTAAGAATTACGTGTTCGAAATTACAATGACCCGATGCGAGTAATTAAAAGTTCAAAGATTTTGATGGAACTCACTTAGCTTCGAGGGCCAGAGCGAACACCCCTGCGGCTTCCGGCGCGGCAGCTGACGTTCCACTGTGCGTCCTCGTGCATTTCCCATACAGATCGGTGGTGGCCTGCAAGAAAGAAACAGAAAAAACAAGGTAGTTCGTGCTTAATTGCGAACGAGCTATTCTAACCCAACGTATATTCAAATTTACCACGTCGCCCGTAACCAGAGGTACCTCATTATAGAAATGTTCCTTTTTTGCATTTTAATGGTAATTGCACTTCAGGATGACCTTTCGGCTTCGCCGTGCACGGCCACGTACGGTATTCTCTTTCTTCTGACTATTCCATAGTTTACATTCCGAGTAATTCGAACTGTTTTTTATCTACTATTCGCTATTATATCGACAAAGATAGAGGTTTTGTGAACCACCTCGTAACAATAATAAGATAAAGACTTGGGTAGTTCTTATATGAACCAGAAAAGTTTTTTTTTTAGTTTCATTGTGGCACGCTTTGAATGTATTCTGTACCCCAAGAAAATATTTACTACAGTATTCTCTTTATATTTTCAAAGTAAATTGTAGGAGTGCCTGCCACTTACAGAATATCGGCATTTTCAATGAAAAACCCGTTTTACGTAATCAAGTTCAACTTTTTGTTTTTAACAATGAACAAATATTATCATACTTTACCGATAAGCTCTTAAATGCACACTCAAATTTGTACCGTATCTTCTATACAAGACTACAAGAAACTATTATATGTATACTCACAGATATGAAAAACTACATAGTACTTTATTTCGTAATTCAGAATTTGGTAGTAATAACAGTGCGAACGAAAGGGTTAAATAACCGTGACTATTACTGTCCAACGATTAAGCTCGATACACCAAACGATAAATCTGTACTGAACACGATTTCTCAGTGCCAATCCATTCGACCGACGACACACCGTTCCCAACGCAACAATTCCCTGTAACATTCTTGTATCTGGGGCGTTGGTGGATGAATCTTCAAACTGGATTCGAAGTTCGGGAAACTGTCCCAGAGTTAATCAATCCTTACACCGCGAAGTCGAAGTCGGATCTCGAATCGGGTCGATTACCGCGCAGATCGAACGCTTATAAAGCCTCCCAGAGGCGATTAAACATTCCTGCCTGCGAAGCTGTGGTAACTTCCTCAATGGTAGCCGCGCACGCGTTGTGTCCCAGCTCGAGCATCGGACAGGGGGTGAAAGTTTTCGCATTAAAAGTTCGCTTCCGGGTCGCGCGATAAAACCGCGATAAAAACGGCCACGTAATCGCGAGGAACCGTAGTGGCCCATTTTGAAAAATTGCTCGATCACCGACGTCGATTTCTTTAGAAAACGCCGTTTCCACGCGAGACCGTTCGTTGCGCATAGTCACGGCTTCACGTGACGGTTCCGTGGTGTCCTGAGAACGAAAATTTATCGCGATGGAAAAAGGAAACGAGAGAACACACACGACTATACAGGGTGTCCGCGTAAGTATCGCCACGAAATCTCAGGAATTTCTTTGAACTCTTTAAAGAAAATTGTAGTAGACAAAGGAGATTGTTTATCTGCAGTTTTTTTCTAAATTTTTACAAAACACTACAGTATACAGTAAATCCTCTATGGCCATTAGTTTGTGAAATATTTAATGTTCAGTGCCGAGGAGGCTTCGATCACTCTGTGTTTTCAAAGCGAACAACGCTTTGATATACCACAACATTGTACAACTTCTGTTGACTTTTTTACGTTATTTGTATTTCTTCATAACGTATTTATAGTCGTTGGATTTATCACGCTTCGTTCTAATGAAAAATGTTTGAAAAGTGATATGGTTTTTTTTAAAAAGCAAAAGGTAGACATTTATTTCTCCGAAAAAACAATGCGGATGAAGAAACTCTGATTTACGAAAGTTACGCAAACTTAAATATAGTTCAACTTTTGTTTAAAACACAAGTTTCCGTAAAGTTCAAAGAAAGTCTTGAAATTTCGTGGCGACACATACGTGGTTCACACCCAGTGGATAGGGGTAATGCGTTTGCGTTCCTCGTACGCTGGCTACGATATAAATTTTCCACGTACTCGGCTGGAAAGAGGACGTACGACAGCGTTCGCTGGTGGTGACGCAAACACAACGATTGAAAGAGGAAAAACCAGAATGTCGTCGATCCAAGGGAATAAGGAGGAAAATATAAAAGAACCGACGCGAATAAACCATAACAAAAGTATACATCTCGTTTTTTTTCTTTTCGCTGTATTCACACGATCAGAGATTAAATCTTGTTCGACGGAAGGTTCGTGTAAATCCGCGCCACATGCGCGCTTTCGTCCGCCCCGAAGATTCTCCTTTATTTTCCCCTCCGTTCGAGCGTGAAATTTTCGTCGAGCGGGCCGTGGTCGGTCCATAAAATCTCGACTATTCGGCGCAGACGCCCCGCAGGAACCGGAGGAAAATCTATCCCGGAAACGGGTCCAACGCCAGGAGGGAGGGGATGAAGGTTGTAAGCGGGATAACATGCAGTTAACGACCAGCTTAGTGTGTAAAAGGTTATCGAAAGGGGAGACCCGGCTGATCTTGCATTTTCCGGATCGTCTAGCGTACATGTACATATACCCATACGTGCATATCTTTAATCGTTCAGGTAAATAACCCTTCTGTCGGTATTTATATCGCTTCACGAACGATATACGCCGACGAAGCTTTCTTGTACACGTCGGTGAACGATCGATCGAGTGTATCTCGCGTAGCTTTATCATAAAAGAAATGAATATTGTCGGTGAAATCCGCTTTCCGGACAAATGTATGCTTCATTCTTGGCAAGCGATTTCATTGGAATATTGAGTAGTCGTTTTCCTCGGATCGAACACTGCACTATGAACAGTAAATCATCGATGAGTGTTCGAAGGCTCCTCGGCACTGAACATTAAATAATTCATAAAATAATGGCCTCGTGCGACTGAAACAATAATATCATTGGCTTCAGAATTCCAAGCTCTAGCACGGTGCTGAACCTCGTTAAAAAGTCAGCGTTACACCTGGGAACACCGTTCCTTGTCAGTGCCGAGGAGTCTTCGAACACTCATCGTTGATTTACGGTGTATGTCTCGGTGACATTTGTTCGATCGATGTTTCGCGACATTATTGCAAGACGATCCCCGTGAAACGCATTCCTGGTGGAAAGAAAAACAACAACAACAACAACGGCCTTCTTTTCTACGCGAGACACAAAGCTCTATAATATATCGGATAGATCGATCGACGACCGCCGTAAAGCCACGGTATAAAGTTTACGAGGGTCCGGTAAGCTTTCGTGGGTTACGAACGGGGCATTCTACGGTGCTTCTGCGAGAGATAATCCCTGGCGATGGCCATAATGACCTCACGATCCTCGATAGTTACGTTGGAAGTGGGTGCTCTCGTTTCTTTTCGAGTGACGGTTCTTTTGTTGCGATGTATTGCACGAAAATGGTTAATTTCAAGTATTATCGCGAACTTAGCTTCCGGTAGAACAAACTCATGCTATCAGTAGACTGCGGAATTTTATGCAAATTCACAATTCTGAATGCTAATATTATAAAAATTAACGGAATCGAAGCTTTAGTGGTACAGAAAACGACCACCAAAGTCTGTATCGATTGGTAATTGTTAAGGATCCTAGTATTCGTGCCGACAATCCTCTGGCCTAAAATTAATACGAAATTAAATCCATTCCGCCACCCAGCAACGCGATCTTCAACGAGCACCAACAATGGCGTTTCTTTTCTTTGCGAAATGATGTCGCTCCGATTTTCCGTGATAAATGATCGCTATGGTTGAGCAATCCTTGTCTTCTCGTATTTATCTGGTCCGCCTATAATATTCCTCCAGGAGCTTTTCGGATCCGACGCAAGTGGCGAGCCAAGTAATTAAGCGTGATCTACAGAAGTTCGAGTAAATGACGCACGTCTCCGAACGCCTTGATTGTACCGAAAGAAACGCAAATGGATTCCGTTCTTTCTGCTACCCTAACCAGTACGAGGCGAACTTGAATCTTTATCTATGAAACGGAGTCGAGGGTCTCTTCATTTCCCGCGGTACCAGAGACTACACTCAGAAAAAAAGTAAATGTATAAACGTTTTAATGAATTTATATAGCATTTTGAATTTTTTCAAGGTCAATCGATCTTTTTTTTTAATACCACGTTGATACCCGTCGTCTCGTTGTAAAACAATCGATGGTCCTTGTTCCAGGCTGACAACATCGACGCCCACGCAGTCGTGCATCTTCCTCGCGAACGGAGAACGCTCCTTACAATTACCGTTCGTTATTAATAATTTACAGCGGGAACACGATACCCAGTGCGCCTGCGCGTGTCCTACCTTCTAAAGTAAATCAACGAGCCGTGCGTAGGCGGATCATTCGAAAGTTTTCAATAATTCATACCACTCCCCTTCGTACCACTCCGCTTCCACCCTCCCTTCAATTTTCTCGAATCGAAGTTTCCCAGAGAATTCTCGCTTCGCGTAATCGAGAAGCTGGTTTGTATTAGACCCGACCACTGAACGGACTCTCTCGAACGTATTCGCAGTAATTAGAAGTCGTTGTTTCTACCGTGAATTATAAGAGGAGAAAAGGAAGAAAGTCGAACTTTCTCCCCGAAAATTGGATTTCACATTCACAGGGCAACCGCGTGATTCCAACACAGGAATTTCACCGCGTTTTTATTCGAATCGCACATTCTCGTTGCGCAGCGAGATTCCACGGTCGTACTTCGTGGGAGTTAATTTATTTTAACCCGTCTCCTACCGCCTCGCATACTTGCTCGACGAGGCTGGAATTTATCCTCCGCATCTGGTATTCTCGGATAACAACGCAAGAGCAAATATTCCAGCGTTCGGAACACCGGGCCACTAGGTGATCTATACATATATCGTGTTTAGAAAATTTTACGAAAGTATTCAGTTTCCTTTATACGTTCTCTTTCTCGAACGAAACAAAGGTGGCTAGACCAAAGATGAACAAATTGATTATCCGGATAAAGAGTTTCGAATAACAAATGAAAGACAAAAAAATGTGCTCCGTGATTTTTAATCGTTCAAACGTAGAAATTGCAATTTTTATAATAAAATAAATAATGAGTCGACATTTGCCAAACAATCGTGTACTTAGTTTCATTAACTTAAGTCTTGAATACTCGGAGGCGCTTTAACAAATCCGTAATGTCTCGGAATCCTTCAGAATCATAAGAACTTATAACCCTCAGGTATATCTTGAAAGTTTCGAAAAGCTTCTGAAAGCCGTGCCGTGGCCGGTGGATAGAAAGTTTCAACGTTTCAGATTCATTAAGCTCGTCGTGATATTCCATCTAACCGGGTCGGCTGGAAGCTACGGGGGTGAGGAATCTCTTGAAACCGCACTCGAAAATTCTCGTAAGGAGAAGAACGAAGATTAACGCGCTACTCACCACCCCGATGTTGGGATCCTTGTCGCCGTTACTGAACGTCGAGGCCAGGGTGCTGGAACAGCTTTCGTCGTAATGCGCGTTCTGGCCGTCGTTGATAGCGCTGTTGATGCTGACGGTCCACATGCTGGCCGCGTACCCGTCGCAGTTACAATCGTCCTCCTCGCCTCCGTCCCCCGACGCCCACACGTATATGTTTCCCAGCCCCCGTCGTCCCTATAACACCATAAACCGCAGAGTTCACAAAAATGGTCTCCACGAAGGAGGCATCTCCACACTCTTATGGTTGAACATTCAACAATAATCTTCCCTTTCTACACGAGAATCAGTGCCAGAAATGTATTTTTTTTTATTAACACAGTTTTAATCTCCGTGGGGACATAATTACTTGGCTAGTGAAAAGACAAGATTATAGTGGCCGGATCTAGGCCTATTAATTGTCGCAACAATCTCACGATGCAAATTTTTACCGACATACCAAGGCTTTGGCTCCTTTCGTCGTGAAAATGCTTGACATAATTGACACGCCGTAGTGCCAAGAAATGGCAGCCTATTGTTATAAACCGCGACTCAACCATCCGACCCCCGTGTTTCGGAGTTTATTCCCATCACGTTATCGGTTTTTATTCCCGTCGTTAAATCGAAGTGTGTACGTAACGATCGGTTGTTAAGGAAGATTTCGTATGTGGTGACGTCGTTTCGTGGACACGGAACATCACTGAAAGAGCTTTCTCGTATTGACGGTTATCGATAAACGTGCAAGTGTATACATCGGAGGGGATGGAAGCTTTCCAAGGATTGTAAAAATTTAATAGAGACATTTTGGGACGCGACCTAAGGTATTCCTGGTTTCACAACAGGTATCGAGCGATAAGCAAAAGGGAAACGATGAAGTCCAGAGAGAGACACAGAGGGGGTATGCATATACGATTAGGTGCCGTTAATGGCTGAACACTAATTAGGCGCCGAAGGGAACAATCCGGTAATTCGAAGTAACGGAACACCTATATCGTATGACACCTTTTGCCTAGGCGGATCGTGGAAACCGCGTGTAAAATTAAATTAACCACCCCTTCGTTGTTTAGTCGTACACGTCTGTCGCTCGAGCAACAAGCATTACGACTACACCAGCGACAAAAACTGTGGCAATAAACGTCCACGACCTCTCTCGCCGCTGCTCTCCGATATCTAATTAACTCTCTCGATAATTAGGTCTGCCACGCTCCAGCCCGTCGCATCGTCTCTCTCCGATAAATTATCGACGTTTTCGTTTAGAGCGAAGAGTGCTCTGATTTGATTCGAGGCAATTATTGGTTACCCTTCGATCTCCCGTGGAAATTCCGAAAATCGGAACGCTGTCAGATACGTTCAACGAGGGAATTCGAATCACGACCAACACGGTGAAATCCATTTCCCCGATGAAAACGCGTGTGTCACCGTGTACTTTCGACGTTTCGATTTTCTCTGGAAATTTCCTAACAAAATTCGCCGAAGAAATACAACGTTACTTCGATTTTTATCGAACGATAATTTTAATCTCTGCAGGAGACATCCGGAAGTATTCCCGAAACACGGTCCGAATGCTTTCGAAGACGGTGAAACGTTGTCCGAAACCGGAAAGGTTCCCCTAAGTGGAGGGACTCGATCGAGGGTGGTCGGAACGGGCCTCGGAAGGAACTTGGAAGGGATCGATATAGACTCCGAAGGGTGCTTTGTTTACACTCGACTTGAGTGCCAGGGTGAAACGACTTCCGGTGACGTGACGGCGACTGCGCGGCGACGGCCAGAAATTCGCCAGCGCAATTACGACGTTAATTACCGACCCGCGGTGTCGTTTCCGTACGATTTAGCAACGAAGCTAGGTCTGGGGTTACCTTTATTACTCTTCGAGCTTTTTCATCCTACGGTAGAAGAATACGACACACCCCCCGCCCCCTTCCGGATGCTGCACAGTGAAACGGATGGACATTGTAGGTGGCAATGAATCGTATCGATCAACAGATAACGAATCTGTCACCGACATCTGGGAAGCGACAAAAAGGAGTACGAGGAGATAGTAACATGAAAAATATAAACGGCAAGGCGGACTCCGGGCGCCGATCAAGTGGGAAGTTATAAGGATAACGGGAGGAAATTCTGCGACATTTCCGACCAAAGGAACAGAAATTCTGGGAAAACGTACGAGAAACCTCCAGGATTTGAGCCATACGTGAGAAATGCTTATTCGGTTGAATTGTGCCCCGAACATTCCATCTAATCGAAGCTATTCGAGTACGTGACTTGGGAATGGAAACTGAACAAAGTTTGACGAACGGGAGGGGACTCTATTCCCTGGTCGCAGAAATTCGACAGCATTATTACCGATCGATAAACGGTATGAAATATGCTTACTGAATCGGATGAAACATTCCTCGCCAAAGCTACAACAACAACAAGAGTGAGTGCACCGGTAAATGGTTGAAGGATCCGTAGTTTGACAAAACTTTAAACAAGACAAAAACTGAAGAAAATAGGTCTGTTCAACATCCATATTTTCGACTTCAAAATAACAAGATACAAGATATACATATATCAGTCTCATAATTTTGAAATAACGATTTGAGGGTCTGGGCGTTAAAGGTTTGATATAATTGTTAACATTGGCACGTACACCCAATAACGATAAACAGACAGTAACGTAAGTCACTAGCTCCGACTCGTTTATCAACGGCGCAAGCTTAAGTTCCATAGTTTTCATGAAAAAAACCCGTCGAGAAAGTTCTCTCTCTCGCGAGAAATCAGGTCGCGTTACCGCCGCGTAAAGGTCGGGGCGCACGTTTCTCTCACGCCCCGTGAAAACATAAAATAAAACCGGGGATATATACCTACATGCCGGACAATGCGTGTCGCTCGGGGATCTTCCTTGCGTCCATGGATCCTTCCGCGTTCTCATTCGTGCGGCACGTGCGCGATTCTGACACGGTTCTCGAGGATCGAATATAAATCGCTTGGAAACGTGGATGCTCTACTCCGTCGTATTTCGACGACGTATTCCCGACTTGCGGATAAACCGATCCAAATAAATATAAGTAAGTAATCGATACTTTCGTTTCGATACTGGGAAAGTGGTTGTCCAGTTATATTACTTCATTGATAAATGTTTATTAATAAAGTATACATATATCTTCGTTAAAATCAGGGACGGGCACATTCATTATCCGAATACAGAGTTTCGAATACCGAATGAAAGATTTTAAAAAAATTGCAATTTTAATAACACAATAATATTTCTTCCTGATTGAGTCGACATTTAGCAAACAGTCTATTTAATCTCATTAACTGTTTAAAGCCCAGGATAATGCTCTTAGACGCTGCTGCTTTACACTATATGTATATTATTCGAATAAAATTCTGCTCGACTTCTCTGGTTAAAACGTATTATAGTAATTAGAAAGAAGATTGTATTCATTTCCCTTCGATACAAGTAAGTATCCATACTTTTTTGTGATACAAGATATAAGTAAATGTATCGATACCTTAACGGTACCGGTTTATCCGTAAATTATCCCTAAGCCATCAGCGCAGTAACGTTTCAAGGCGGTCATAGCAGGGTTAATCTCTACCCTTAGCAACGGGCTGCGAGAACACGAAGGTCGGAAAGAAGATCCAGGCAGCCAGGAAAACGTAGGGTGGGGCGTGAGGGGAAAGAAAAACGTGACACCGATACGCACCTCGTTAACGCCGCGCACGATCGCCCTCATCGTCGCGTTCCGCGGTCCGTCGACGGTCTTCCCGTCGTCCGTCGGTCCCCATGAGGCGCTATAAATGTCTATGAGATCGGGTTCGTGTCCCATGCTGTTCGCCTCGATCAGATCGGTCATGTACGGCTGGTCCAGCATACGGATACCGGCGACTTTCGAGTCGTACGCGACCCCGACACCGCAGACTCCATTGTCACGGGCTGCGGCTACTTCTCCGGCGCATCTGGTGCCGTGGCTGGTCAGGAGAAATAATGTTAATTACACATGTTAATGTCAATTACAGATACATTAGATACATACAGGGTGAGTCAATAGGACCTACTATTTAAAATAACTCGTCGTTACCAATTGCTTGTATCAGAAAACGTTTCAATGAGTTATGTAGCATCTTAGAGGACGCATCGGATGGATACAATTTTATTTCGTTGTATAATTTTTTTTAGACATCAAGGTGACCTTCTGGAATTTGTTGAAGGTCAATGCATATTTGTTTAATACCATCGTTCTATAGGTCGTTGAATTCGTCCCTCCACCGGCAACAACGTTGTGTTAAAAAAAAGATGCATAGAAAAAACTCAAGGTAACCTTGACATCTCAAAACAATGAAATTGTATCCATCCGATGCAACCGTTAAAATGCTACGTAATTTCGTTTCTAAAACGTTTTCTGATACACGCAATAGGTAACGAATTATTTTAGATAGTAGTTCTTGTTCACTCACTCTGTATCTCCGCCAGTGGATCATTACGAGATCACAAAGAGCTGCGATTCTCGAGCACGACATCCGGTGCCATCGTTTCGACAAACCGCTGCTAATTGGTGTGTTGAAACATGATTTTATCGCGCGATTTTCGACCAGAACGAGTGGAGAGCGTGACACCTGGAACCGTGTTTCGTCGGAAAAGAGTGTCATGGAAGCTCGTTCGTCTCCTCGCGAATCAATTTGCGTTGCGTTTCACTGCCACTGATCGACAATGAGCGACCAAAGGACACAGGGTTGTCGTTTCGACACGACAACCCTAATTTCCATGTAATCGAAGGCCTCGGCGGGACGAGCGTGACGATATGTCACACGCTGGTCGAACCGACGAGTCACAATCACCGGATTATATTACCCGCCACCGAAAAGAGAGACATGTCCTTGCGTCGAGGGGATTAATCAGCCGCGATTAAACAGTAATTACACACGCAGGCGCTGGACGCGATTAATTACAAACGGACCCACCACCCTTGACGCGTATTCTTCGATGCACGTTCGACGCATAATATAGCGTTGGTTAAATACAAATTGAATGCAAATATAACGAACGATCGTCCTCCGACCTTTCGCTGTTTATAATTAACCAGCGGCCGCGCGGAAAATCTCGTTATTCGCCTGTGTCGATTGTGAAGGAAATCGTGACACGCCCCTGATGCGTTCGCTTTCGAAAACGACGAATCACGCGAAATGTACACTGCCGTAAGTATTCGGATACATACTCTGTGTGGAGTAATTGTGAAAAAAACGTTAAAAATTGATCGAAGAACTGTCAAGCAATGTTACTTTATTTAGTATTTTATATTAAAAATTTTCAATCTGTAACAAATATCACTTTTTGTACAAATACAGCAGGTTTCCTAATACTTATGGCCGCCGTATCGAAACTCGTCGATAATTCCACGAGGATCGGGGCCCCGTCAAACACGTTTTATTGTCCCGTTTCTTTTATCGCAACCCCTCCAAGTTTCTTTCATTATCCACATCAAACGGTTATGCTCCCTCTCTCTCTCCCTCTCACTTTGGTTTATTACCGCGTTCCGATTGGACCTATAAAATCGAAAAACGAATCTCGTAAACCGCCCAACAATCGGCCAAACCCATAGTAGAGAGCGTGTAGGGTACCTTCGCGACGGAACTAACACGTCCACGGGGAAACTTTTCTTTTCCACGGCTCGTGGGCTAAAGTAAATAAGGCGATTAAGCGCGACCCGAGGTCGTCCCGTGCAATATTGCGGATTAACGGATTCCCCGTAAACGACCGTAGCAGAATGCGTTTTAATCAATTTCGCCCGTTCGTTTTCCTCTCCTTAAACTCGTTTGCCGGCGACGTTTTACGGGCAAAGGAATCGAATCATAATCGCGATCGGGTCCAGCGGACGTTAAGGGGATGGAATTCTTTGAAGCTCCGTGGGCCACCGATAAAATGTTCCCAGGACGATCAAGTCTGCAATTTATTTCAATACAAAGAACAATGATTGGACTTGTCAATGAGGGAGGGCAGAGGGAATATCAATTTTCCCCCGTTGGAATATTCTGCCATAGAAGAGCAAACGTAGATATTAAAAATTTCGTTTCACTCGCCACCCCGTTGAAAAAGAACCGATCGTGCATAAGCGCATCTGTCTCTCCCTCGTCGATGGGACATATTCTCGACAGTGCGGTATGGGGGTGAATCGAAACGGTGGCTTGAAAAGGAACTGAACCAAAGGAAATTGACGGAAGACCGAGAAACGGAGACGTTCGACAGGCTATTCGCGCCGGTTTGTTCCGACACGGGAAACGTTTGTCAGCCGCACGGACCCGCGGAAATTGCCGCTGAAGCTTACGTAAGCTCCGTTGCTTTTTCGAAAGATGTTTACGTAACGGGGCAGAATTCTCTGCACATTTATTTCTCGTGTTATATAGTCTCGATGGCTTCGAGACGTCCGCGAAAATCTCTGCGGCCAAGTGAACTAACTCCCTTCGAACGAGTCCATTCGGTAGACTGCGTTCTTCCCCGGACTAAAGTGGAAAGTCGATTTCTCATTATCGGATAAAAAGTTTCCGTCGGGTCTCGCCACCACCCCCATCGAATAATATTATCTACGCTTCGGTCGAGTTTTTAGACCCTTCCCCCTGTTACTCTCCAATCACCGTAGGAAAACAACGTTCAATTGTAACGAGAAGCTTCTCCAACAATCTTCTTCTCTCGATAACCATCCGACCGAGGCTAACGTTAATTGCTACCCAGTGATCATTAATTACGGAATCGCAATGAGCAACCATCCCTCTCTCGGTTACAGTTTCCCTGGCAATTATATTATTCCCTACGCGTTTTCTCAACCCTTCTCGCCTCACCTGTTAAACCAGTCGTCCGTGTATCTTGGATACGGATAGGGATCGTTGCTGCTGAAGTCGTAGGAAGCCTTGGCATTCTATAACAAACGTGACTTCAGATTTTTCAAGTGAAATGTAAACGTTGCATCTGCGTTTTTCTCGTAAAAAGTGAGTGTTTCAAAAAAATAGAAGAGTAGTCAGTTTTTTGGAAATGGAATGTTATGTTTTTTAATGTCAAATGAATGGGTGGGCCAAGACGAATTCATTTATACGTAAGACAATAACTTAAAATAAAAGAAATATGTAGATTGAACATTTCGTAACATTGTACAATACTATATCGTTTTACTGTCATTAGAGGAACTTTCTGGTAATACAGAACACCATGTACTTCTTGACGCTGTTAATTAATCGGCCATAGGATCCACCCGAGCAGCTTATACCGTGTGGAGAATTCTCTTCTATTAATTTCATCACCCATAAATTTTTCCCGTTCACGGGCCATTAATCTTCGTCTTCTTGGGGGCTACCCTCCTTGTGTTTCTCTCCTTCTGCCATTTCTTTTCTTCCGGTTTCACTTCATGGTCGCGTCGTTTCGTCGTTCCGTGCATCGCCAATTACAAGAAACTTCAATTCAAGAATTTCTCGACGATCTCATTCTAGGTAGGTACGCCGGTTCAGTTCAAAGAACCGAATATACTTCGTGGAAATTCATTTATAAATCCACGGACTCGGTAACGTCATGAACACGAGTAGTGAACTGTAGTGAGAAACGCGTTGAAGTTAATTAGCGGACGGATGAATTTTTCCACGCGAACTTTCCCCCCGAAACGATGCTCTCTGTGTCGCAACGCTGAACTTTCGCTTCCCATTGTTCTCTCGACCCCACCCAGCCCCCAGACACACAAAGTTGATTACGGAGTTTCTGCGGCACGTGGGACGACGCATTGTCTTCCAGTATTTCTGTTCCACCTTCCTTCCACTGGAAGACGGGTCTCTCTCGCCATTGTCGACCCGACACTCGCGTCGCGTCGAATGAACGAGAAAAGAGCCACCGACGACCGAGGGAAACGTTATTCTTCCATTATTTTTACCCCTTTGAATGGTTTCTTCGTAAACACACTACCGAGCGATGTTTAATATTGTTTAATCGTAGCATCCTGCGAGTTGAAATGTTTATATTCCGCGAACAGTGCGCAATTGGCTCGCAAAACGGGTCAAGTATTCCCCCCGATGTTCCCTGCAATGACGTTGACAACAATATACGTATGTATAACGGTGCTTGTTCCTTTGTCGACGGGGAACAACGGAAATTCATATCCATTTAAACCTCCGTCGCTCACTGCAGATGTTTCCCTGGAGAAAAACGCCTCGTGGATTCTGAACCACGTTTAACGAGAAGGCTCTCTTCACCTCGTTCCGCTCGTGTCAAGTGGATCGCCGAAGATCGAGGAGTATACGTGATATGAATCGATACGTTGTCCAGAGTGTCTCCGTTGATGTCGATCGGATGCTGAAGAAATGGTCAAACGATCGAATGAAACTATGAAAAACTTCGTTAAATGTGATCCGCGAATTCTATCTGTAATTATTCGTAGAGTTCGTAGTACATCATTCGGAGCCGTTCACGTATAGGCGACTCGGTAATTTTTCAACGATTTCATTTCCCAGCGTGGGAGCCACGACAGAGACCTCTCAGCTGCTCCCAATGTCCTTCGACTTCCCCGACGATTAACGTTTAATGCACCGACCGCGTCCAGCAGTCGCCTGTGTCGAGCTGGGCGCGCCACAACGCCGCGCGCGAGGACACACCGCCGATGACGCTCTGCCCCCATGATCTCGAGAACGAAATGAAAATCGCGGCGGGAGAGCTTTATCGTCGTTCGTTCGGCGGGAAAGGTCACGCCCGTTGGCCGTAATTTAAATTTCAAGGCGAGCTCGATGTTATGCTAACGAGCTTTAGCTAGCATGGGGGACGACTTGTCGGTCATTTTGTTTGCCGAACCACGAGATTCACTCTCGAGCTCGAATTCCCGTCTCTCCGATCGACGAATATTAATCACGATTCGTTGAAACGAATATCGGCCTCTGTTCGATAGAAATGAAAGAGATAGAATGTCTAACCGATTCGGAAGCTTCCAGTCGTATTGGTTCGGAAACAAACTCAAACAGGATCGGATCGTTGACCGTTTCTAACGATTCGTTGAAACAAATATCGGTTTCTGTTCGATCAAAGTGAAAGAAAATCTTGAACCTGCGAACAGACCAGAAGCTTCCAGACGCGTCGGTCCGGAAATTGGCTCGAACAGAATTATGTCGGGGACGGATGAGTTCGTCGTCAGTTCCGTAACTATCGCCGTCTCTTGGGATGAAAATAAAAAAACAGACGAGTTGGCGGAATACAATCTCGGCACGGTGAGGCGAAATAATGGACGTACTTACGTAATTGTACTTCAGATCCGGATGCATATAGTCGACACCTGAAACAGAAGGAAAAGAAAACACGTTTAACGACCGTGTCGTTGGATTTACGTAACGCGTAACAGAAATTGCAATCTGTTACACAGGCTAACGGGAAACACCATCGGATCCGTCCTGATCTTTCCGAAGTCCGTTACAAGTTTACCAGAAAACCAATAACACCCAAGTCCAATTATAGTTCGCCCTGAAGATTAATCCTGGCTCTCGGACGCAATTAACGGGGAGACTAAATATCGTTTTCGTGGGACGTATCATCACATTCACTGATCACAACCATCGTCGAATGTCAACCATTGACGCGACGGAAAAACGGGTCGATAGAAGGGTAGATCGTCGAATTTCGATTCGACTGCAATTCTCGTTCGATTTGCAATTTACCACGCGCGATCAACAACGGACGCTGATACCGGAGTATTAACGGGGATGTTTGCGGGACAATCATTGCCGGCCCGAAATCGATAACACGGACGGTAAGCCGCAAAAGACTGAAATCCTTAACAAGCTGTATCTCTGGATATTCGAGATTATACGGGTCCGGTGGACTGGTATCGAGTCCCAGGACCCTTCGCAAACGATGGAAAACTGGCCAGCGAGGTGCACGAACGACCCTCGAGAATTATCGATCATCGTTCAAGGAACAGCAATTCTGAAACTTAATCGCATTTCGTGGGCAGCAGTTGACATTCGTAATCGCGTTGCTCGACAATCGCGTCCGGCTCTAAGACATCCGACGTTTAAAGGACGTTGATCATCGTATAAAAAAGTGCGCAATTTTTTCCATATTATCGAAACATGTATGTAAAACGTATCGAACGCAGACGGAGCAGAAGCTTGTCCGACCGATAAAAAATAAAACGATAAAATTAAAAATATTGGTAAACTAATATTTTCAGTGTACACAATACTGTGTAAATTTTTGTACAATAAATTGTATCTGTACATTTGTTCGTTCACCAATTACTTTGTAATACACTCTTTTTTTACTTCCCTTCCGAATTCATTGGAATCGCGTTTGAAAAATCGAACCAGAAATTCGAAACACCTTGTAAGCTTCCAAACGAAGAATGTTACACATGGACATGTTCGTCGCTAGAACGACGCCCATCGCAAAGGGGCGGTAAAATGTTACGGTAAGAAACACACGGACGATAATTAAGGAACTCGTGTCGGAGCAGTATCGGTGAGCGATTATCCTCGCGTCACTGGGTCGCAATTAATGCATGCAACCTCAAGAATGCGGAGAGGTTCACGTGCCAGCCATAATCTAAGCTAAACCGCTTTCTGTTAATGAGATCTCGAGAAGCCGCCCGGTGAAATTGCTTCCCCCGTTAAAACCGCGAAACGGTCCATTACCGATACAACCCTCGAGTAAGATAAGTCAATTGCAAACGGTAGACGGACTCTGTAACGCTTGTTTTCTTTCGAGTTTACGTGAACGTTCACGTGCAATCTGGACGGTCATAACACCGGTCACTTACTGTCGTTATAATAATCTCAGCGATAAATAAGTCGAATTAACCATGTTTCCCTTCGTATTGCCAAAACAATTACCCGTTACGTAATAGTTGCTACACGACAACACCTACGTCTCGAGTGACCAGTACATATTAGTCTTCCTATTCCGTAATACGTTCACGCGACCTTTAAGATTTTCGACAACGAGACAAGTTCTATTAGGAGAAGTCGATACGAGCAGCTCACCATCGTCCATTATAGCCGTGGTCACGTTCTTCCCGGTGACGCCCTGAGCCCAGGCCGCCTTCACGTTCAGATCCAGCTTTGGTTTACCGCCGTTCTGGCCAGTGTTCTTCAAGTACCACTGGTATTGGAAGTACGGGTCCGACGGGTCAGTGTTCCCAAGACTCGATGGGTTTTTCATCTGATACACAGGGACCAGATTGTCCACGCTCAACGGTTTGTAGCCCCTCTTCACCCTCTTGAATCCAGGCTGTTGAACAGCTGTGTGCACCTGAAAACATTCCCGCGCGAATCTCATTACAGCGCCACCTACGTACCGCCTCTTTAATTCTTCACCAGGGCAAAACGGATTAATTCTGCCTTTAAAAGGGTTCGAGTAATTAATAAAACGAACAACGATAAAAAAGAAAATGTTGCTTCCAGGTACAGAGGAAAGCGTAAAGCATACTCTAAGCGATTTCAGGAGAGGATTACCGAATAAATCCTACGTCCACGGATGTTAGCGAAGGATAGAACAGGTGAACATACGGTTCTCGACGAGTCACGCGATGAAAATGTATGAGCGGATGGGCGAAAGAAGGACGTTCTTCTCTGGAGGAGGATCGATGGTACGGTCACTCGGGCGCGACTTCGTCAAAAGGATCGTAATTTTATGCGACCAATTTGTTCCTCGTTCGATTATGTTCAACCTCGCCGCTGGAAATTGGGTATTCCATTTACATTTATATCGGCGATCCCCGCCCACGTATACGGCCCGTCTGCTTTTCCCCGTGACGTTCACCAACGGAGCACGCGATGTTCTTTCTTTCGAAACGGACGTTAAACACTTTGCTCGCGACGATTTGGTTTCGACCACTGGGAAAGGAAGTAACGCGCGAACGGTCGGAATCGATGAAATATGTATATCAAGTACGCCAACGTGGGGAGAACATGGGAAATTATTGAACTCGTATTATTACCCTAAGTGATGTACTTTACACCGTTTTAAAAATATTAACTTAATATCATTTTTAGACTATTATGTACCTACATTCAAAACTTCAATCATCTTTACCATCGGCAAGAATGAAAAATATTTGATATAGGAAACATGTAAAATGTCATTATTTTTCAAAGTGGACTCAAGACACTCTGGCTCTGGGGTCTAGATGTACATATATAGGGAGATTCTGGGACACGAGAGGGGATAACTTACCAAAGGGTCCACCTTCAATCTCCTCATGTGCGGCACGGACCTTTTGCTTCGCGCGTGCGGTAGAGCTCTGTGCACGAAGTGGTATTCCGTCCGACTGCCCAGCACCTGGACAAAAACCGAAAAACACGATTTTCAGCACGTTTATTCAATTTCATATACAGAATGGCACGCAGTACGAATGGCGCAACCAAACCGAAGGGGTTGTGCTGCATGAAAAATGTTGTTTTTAGTTTTTTAAGATAATATTTTGTAATACTCTCGTGTAACAAAAGGAACATCCAGTAAAAAATAAATTTACATCATAAATATAAGTCGAGAATGCACAATTAGCGTTTTTGCAAATCGAACAACCGAAAGAAGTACATTTAAGAGAATCTGTACCCACGTCAACGCGACAAATCGATCATCCGGAAATACCAGAGTCGTAGACGCGTCAAGGAAATTGACTAAGAGCACATACGCTACGCGAGAAACGCATTATCCCTCGTTCCTCTTATAGGACAGAAAGAAAAAATTCTTCCGAGTGTCCGAGGGAGTACAGTTTCTCCGACAATTCCCAGAACCAAGTCCAAAGTGGCTTCTCGAGAGTCGAAGGGATGTGCGTTGCTGGAAACGAAAAAAAAACTCTCCCCCACATCCGAGAAACTCTCTTAAGATCGTCGAGCACGTAGGTAAATACGGCGGATCGATCAAATTACAAGTAAGTTAACGATCCTGTGGGGAAGGGCGGGCCGGAGGGGGGGGCATCCTATTCGTCAATCCAATCGAGCCAATTACAGACGGATAAAGTTATCTCGATTACGGTGCGGACTGTCATCCGATTAATAACTTCGCCTCGCAGACAGAGAATCGATTCGAACCGAGACGACAGATTAACCTTTTAACGCCCAGTGTTGCACCGGTGCAACAATGACGAAATACAACACATCAGTCTCATAATTTTTAAATAACGATGCGCGAACGGAAAACCCAATGGAAACTAAGAAAAATATATTCACAGATGATGGATCTCTTTTTCCATTCAGCCTGGAACCGTCAATAAAACGTGTCAAACAAGTCGGTGGTAAAGTACACAGAGTTCTGCACCCATGGATGATGATCGATCACTTTCATCTCGTATCGTGCTTCCAGAAAATCGAGAAACACTCGTGAATTTCTCAACAGGGGAATGCTTTTCGCGATTCAACTATAAATTTTTACCCCTGAGTCGCTCTCGACAGTTCGCTGTGGCGAGGAAAGAAGGGAATAACGTTAATCCTAGCTTTTTCCTCGGTTGAGAATTATTTTCAAACTGCTCCGCCACCCGATTGGTTTTCCGATAGTTACGAAGCTGGATGTTTCCGGAGAAAAAAGCATCGTGTCGAAGTTCCGTCAGCTTTCGCAGAACTTCGTCGAGGAAACTGAAACAGGAGATTTACACGTACGCCCAGATCGCGCGTGACCCTGTCGAAATCTCGTTACGACGATCGAGGAATCCTTCGATCGCGACCGATCGCCTAGTTTCTTTTCGTTCGAGATTTCATCGCCGATACTGGCCCACTTTCCAGTAAGTGTTTACCGCCACGGTGAAACGCGCAGTAACTCGACGAATAGATCGTTTCCCGTTGCTCCGCAAAACGATCCATAAAGGAGCACCGTTCGTGGAGACGTTCGATTCCCCGATGGATATGTTCCGCTCATTCGATTCCCGTCGACGCACAGTGGTCCGTTTCACGAATCTAGCTGGAGAAGACCCCAGTTTTCATGTGACTATTTCACGAAAGTATAATTACAAGAATCACACGCAAATGGACGATCGGTTTCACGAAAGAAAATCCCCTGTAAATTGTCCTGGTATTTAGGATCACCCCATTTAGCTCGTTAATCACCACCCGACTGTGTAGAAGCGACTTTATCATCGAAGAAAACAGTCTATCCGCGTCACCTTGCGGAAGTAATGTCCATTAATTGTCGTTGATCGCTGAATAATTCACGAACGGACATTCTGTTTTTTTTAGTCGCGATGATTCCTCCCGCGACAATAGCCTCGAGTGTCCTCTTCGAACATTTGTTCCCCCAAGGCTTTGAAGCTTCACGAGCTGAACATCAAACGATGCTATTCGCAGAATGCTAGGGCATTCCCTTGTACTTTTGTCTCCCGAGATTGAACAGGAAACGGAACCCATGGCCGTTTTTTCTACCCCGAATTCGAAGAAAAGCGACGGAAGAGGTAGCTGGAACGCCGTAGAGTGTCCGATCGATCGACCAATACGGTTCGACAGCCTCTCCGGACGGAATGGAGGCGACAGCCCCTGTCACGGATACAGAGAAACGAGAGGTCGACTATGCCTTCTCGTCATCCTATTCTCGGTCCTGGGTATCGAGTTCCCCGAATGCGTGCATCGCAAATTTTCGTTGACTAGTGTAACATGATTCAACGAGAGTGACGATTGTACCGAATTTTTTGTCAACCCCATTTTGTTCCGAAGATTGCAAAGTCACCACAAAATAACAGTCTTTTTATAGATAAACCTACACTTGAAAATTTTCAATTCTTATGTATTGTGGTTAAAATACAAACGAATCAAGTGTGCCATGTTTGAAATCGTGTTGGAAAATAATGTTTCTCCAGAAAAGGATAGAATATATTCGATAAAAAAAGTGATTCGTTTTTATATTAATAAAAATTGCCGATCGAACAGCTGACAGTAGAATAATCTGAGCTGATCACGTTTCCTGGTCCACCCTGTATATGTACACTCCCGTTCCTAAGTACAAAGACACTTATCGAATATGCAGTACGGTAAATCATCGATGAGTGTTCGAAGGCTCCTCCCGAGACTCGCAAGGAGAGATCCCCAGGTGTAACACTAGTTTTTTAATTGTGTCCAAATATATTTATTTCAGCCACATGTGGCGAGTAGTTTATGAAATATTTAATATTAAGTATTGTAATTATTTATTGTATCGGGCCTTGCCCGTTAATTCTAAATAAATAATAATTATATTCATTGCGGATTAAAATGAATAATGCTTAGGATATATTAAAGCTCAATGGACGAGGCTTGTGCTATTATGAAGTAAGTAGGTGAAATGTAACTATAAGTGGAGATAAAATAAGGAAAAAATATGAAATAATAAATGTAACCGAAAATATGTAAGCTTTCACGAAACACATCGTATATGTATACGTCGTACAGACTGAAAGTCCACGTACTTACGAGCAGTAGTGTACGTGTCGTTGCACGTTCAGGAACACTCTGAAATGGCAACGGCACACACGATCGATGCCTCCTCGCTCGAGTTCTGCGGTGAAACGAGCGCACACAGTAATTATGCGGCGGTACCTCGAAAACTTTCAATAGCCCCGTCTACGCTACGATATGTGACCGCTTGACAGAATGTCGTACACAGGGTGTCGTCGAACTGACGGTGCATCCCGACGGAGGACGATTTTTCATGACGATATACAAGTGGAATAAATTTGATTCTGATAGGCTGAGTTTCCGAGGAAATTGGTGGTGTCACGACCAGTCACGAGAGGTGTGTGTCTGACTGTTACTTGGTATTACTACTTGCGAAAACGATTAATAGCGATATTGTCTCCTGGTATGAAACGTAGGAAGCTAATAGTGCTGGGCTACTGACTGTGATTTGTGAAGTATACTGTAAAAAATTTTTAGATAGAATAGAATTTTTATAGAGAATATTCACTTTAAAGATTCAATTTGAAACTCGTAGAACTCGTTAGCCAAGCAGATGTTCAAAGTCGATTTTGAAGTTTCTAATCAAAAAATTTGATCCTATATTTTCGACCTATTACACCAGTTACATAACACCCTTGTACTTTCGCTATTGATCTATTCGGGGACGTCCGTCAACGGAGGAAAACTCGTAGGCGGTGCCAGACTTTTGGTGGATACGCAAGATGTCTGGAAATGGATCAGTGTTATCTGTTTTTCGTTTCGCTCGTATATCGATATATCAGCCGTTAAACTGTGCCTCTAATCGTCCGGTGATGGTAATGTCTGGAAATCCAGTGATGGATTCTGCTACGACAAAAGTAATTTAATTGGTAATACCACTGACCACTGTTTGTTGCTTTGGAACGCATTCATGCTATCACTACAAGAAACTATGTGTATACCAGCCATCTGTGCAGTATACTGCGTGACAAAGACCATCTACGATATCAAAGCGTCAGTTGGTATCAAGGAGATCGAACGCAACTGACACAATAACTCCTCTGATATCCTAACAGTGCTCGATATATTAGCACATTCTATATCGACGTTGCTGTATTTCTTCCTGAAATAGAGATCAATTTATGAAAATGATTCCTATATTATTTAATTTAATCTAATTTATTTAACGGGAAAACCCTTGATATGAAAAGAAATAATGATAATTAAGAAAATTAGATACAAAAAAAAGATACAACGAATACAGATTGTATACATATACAAAATAAGGATTAGGTGTGCTTATTTCAGAGTGTTCGGTCATTTGTCTGTAAATGTGCTAAATGACATGTGGAAAAAGTCAAAAGAAACATTTAAATTGTTATTATTCCATGAGAAAATTTCCTACATTTTAGCGTGACTGACTCGATCCATTAATTATTTCGACAGCAATGACACTTCCAATGTGGACAAGGTCTTCTCTTACAGCGAAACTATGGCGATGGCACGTGGATAAACATAAAATGTCCCTGTCGAGGTAGCTGGAAAGGAATTTTCTCATTTCGTGAAGACAGAGCGATACTCCAGCGCCGTTGCCTTTAGTTCGGGACACTATAAAAGAGAATCTATTCGATGCCCAACCTTATCCGGGCGTTTAAGTAATTCTCGAAATATAACATAGATTCTTGCGTTTGCTGTTTTGGTTATTAATAATCGGACATACATCGAGAAAATAAGCATAGAGACAGTTTTTATATACATATACTTTAACAGAAATAATATTTCTGGTATCAGTGATGAAAGCGAATATCTAAAAGATCGGCGTAGAATTCATTATCGAAAAGCGAACGTATCGAGCCTTTTGTCCGAGACGCAGGATATCTGGTATCTGGATTTTCCGTTGACGTAGGTGTCTTTGAACCTCCAGCGTCAATGAAACGATTT